CGGGGGCCTTTTTCCTGATTCAGTTTCACACCATCCCTGGTTGTTTATTCTGGAAGACTTTTGACCTTCTGTAAACCAAGCAGACCTCTCCACTGAGGCTCAACTGGTATTCACCCCCCAGGAGATACTCATTTTATGGCCTGGTGCTTTAAATACTTACCCCTCAATAGCCTAGTTTTAAATCATTAACACAACCTTGTTCAACATTAACAAATATGTTCAAGTGAGAGTGTTTACACATGCCATAAGATTAACTCTATTAAAGACTAAAAATAATAATTTTTCTTCAACAGTAGTAATAATAGTAAATCTAGGTTCAATTTTTCTTTGCAAATAGTTTCAATCTTTTTCCTTACATCAATCCAATATTCTACTCTTCTTTATCTGCAGGGCTTTACACAACTTTGAAATTACCTTTTTAGTGTTAAAGTTTGTCATTAAGATCTCCTCTAAACAATTTGGTTTCTTCAGAATATTTTCCCAATCTTTATGTTTGGTCAAGTAACCTCTAATTTGTAGAAATTTATAAAAAATCTTTTGTAGTTAAATGAAATTCATTTTTTAGCTGTTGAAAATATTTCATATGTTCATTTTCAAAGAGTTGTCCGATATAAACCAAGCCCTTCTCTTGCCACTTTTCAAATCCCCCTTCCATTGAGGGTTTAAAGTCTGGATTTGATGCTATTTTAGTAGCTCTACAAATTAAACTTGACATATTTAACTTTCTTTTAACAATTGCCCATATTTTTAATGTTGCTTTAACCCATTCATTTGCAATTTTTGATTTATTTTGAATATTCTTTCTTACAAATGGCAACGATTCGGGGGGACGGGTGTCTTCGGGCACGAGTTTTGTTCAATTTCCCTCCATCCTGTTCGCTATTATCTAACCATATTTTTATTACTTTTAAATGCGATGCCCAATTATATTTTTTAATATTGGGTAGGTGTAAACCTCCTTTTTCTTTTGGGCTTTGCAATAATGTGTACCTTATTCTTGTTTTTCTGTTTCTCCATATAAATTTTAATATCATTTTGTCAAGTTTTGTAAACATGTTTTTCAGAAGAAGGATAGGCAGGGATTGAAACAGAAACAATAAACGTGGCAGAACATTAATCCTTACCACTTCTATTCGTCCAACTAATGTGAGAGGAAGTATATCCCACCCTGTCAAATCTTTTCTGATTTCACCTATGATCTTAGTCAAATTTGCTGTAAAGAGATCAAATAGTTTTGGTGTTAAAATAATGCCCAAATATCTGAATATTTTGTCCATTTGAATTGAACCTTTTTTATGTTTAATGGAACGTTCCCTGTAATAACCATAGCAATTGATTTTGATTCATTAGTCACATAACCTGAAATAATCCCATATTCCTTTAAAATGTAATATAGAATTTGCAGTGTTGTTTCTGGTTCACGTATAGAAGAATATCATCAGCAAACAGGGAGATTTTTGACTCTACATCTCCCTCATCTCTGATTCCTTTGATATTTCCATCTTGTCTAATATATTCAGCTAAAGGTTCTATACTTAATGCAAAAAGTAGCGGCTTAAGCAATCACCTTGTCTTACTCCTCTTTTCAGGAAGAAGAATTCAGAGCATTATCTGTTAACCCTTATTCTAGACTTGGGATCTTTATAGACCAGTTTAATCCAATCAATAAACTTTGGATTAAATCCAAACATGGACAAGACTTAATATAAATATTTCCATTTTACGCTGTCAAATGCTTCGTACTTGCACGTGATTTGGCACATGACATGAGATTTATAGCTTTTCTGATGTTGTTAGAGTCCTGTCGCCCAGCTATAAAACCTGTTTGATCCGGTTTTATTCAGTTTTGTATACCTTTCTGGATTCTATTTGTCATTAAACTTAATATTTTTAAGTCATTACACACTAAACTAACAGGACGATAACTTCCACACTGACTGGGGTCTTTTCCTTCCTTGTGCCAGACAGAAATGACAGCCTCTGACCATGATTCTGGTACATTCCCTGATTCTAAAACATAATTGAAGGTTCTTTTTAATAATGGCGTTATATCTTCAACAAAACACTTATAAAATTCCCCCTGAAACCCATCAGTTCCTGGACTCTTGTTACTCTTTAATTTTTTAATAGTGTTAAGTATTTCTTCTAATGTAATTGGTTCTGTTATTTCTCGTGCTTGTTCTGAAGCCAATGTTAGTAAATTTAACTTGCTCATAAATTCCTTTGTTTTGGTAGGATTATTGTCTTCAACATCATATAAAATGTTATAATAGTCTGCAAATGCTTCCACAATATCTTTTGGTTTCATCTTGATTTCTTTAGAAATGGGATGACTTGTGTTAAGGAAGAAAATATTCTAACATAGTTAACTTTGGAAAAAGGTTGGCTTTTCATTTCTTCCCTTCCCGGGTCCACTCGGCGAGCTGCGTTTGGTAATAAAAACCAACATTGCGTGTTGACATCACAGAATTACAGAGTTTAATCCAATATAAGACAATGCATACACTTAGAAATAAGACAATGCACAAACCTACACCAGAAATTGCAGAACAACAGAGACATACATTCCATTACCTGACATAGGAGGAAAGAAAGCAAAGACGTACAAGACATCTTTGGAGAGTTTGCAAGAGCAAATCTGATTTTTTACTTCTATGTAAAAAGCTTTATCCTCTTGTATTTAATTTATTCACATAAGGCTGGCCCTTGGTCCTCCAACCAGGAGCCATCTCTGACACTGCCTAGAGCTTCACCTAATTTACTGCAAACATCTGGGGTCATTTGCTTCTTTGTTTTAACAAGAAAAAGCGGAAAGCTTGTCCTGGCATCTAGAATTCTTAAAGTCATAAAACACAAGATAAGCTTCCACAGACAGCTTGTGGAATGCGGGGGGCCTCACCATAAATTCTCAGGAACAAACTTAAATTTAGTAATCTGGTTCAAGGAAAGGTTATCTTCACAAACTTGTTCAAAATAAGAAATATGTTCACAAGGAGAGTATACAACATACCTTTTACACATGCCATAAGATTAACTGTATTAAAGACTAAAAATAATCATTTTTCTTTAACACTTGCTTTTGTTACTAACATTTCTGACTGTTTCTTTTTTAATTGATATGCCAATACCTTAGATGCTCTTCTAACCTCACAGATTTGTCTAACTTTTTTACATGTTCCTTGTCCAATTTTTTTGTATCTCTCTAACTGTTAGGGTTAGAGAGATACAACCCTAACTGTGTTGTTCATATTCTCTTGTTCTTTTCATGCGGGATGTAATTTTAATGATTTTCCTCTAATTACTGCTTTACAGCAGTCTCTCTCTTTATGAAGGCTAATTTATTTATTTATTTATCATCTTTTTATTTGTTATGAATGTCTTTCTTGGTGCCAACTTACCTCTCCAGTTCTTTCCTACGTCTTCTGTAATGTCACCACATTCCAGCGGCTGCTCTGCAGATCTTTCTTTAACTTTTCCGTCTCGTCCTCCTCTTCCGTGGAGATGCCCATTTCTCTTAATATTGCTGATGCCTCCTTCAAATGTGTGAACGACTTCATCCCTCCATCCAGAAAAATCTTCAGTTGAGCTGGGTTCTGTATTTGCGGCTTAACGTTAGGTTCTTTAAGTTTCTTGATGACACCCGGACCCTGACTCTTTGCCTCTGTATCTGTCTGTATAGTCCAGTCTGAAATATATATCCTGTCCACGTTTCTTTGTTTCCATGCTGTTTGAGTCACTTTCTCCTTCACTTGATAGTTCCAAAAGCGTACAAGGATTGGTCTCGGAGCAGCAGTGTGAGACGCGCTGGCCCTCATCTGTGCAGTGTTGCTGATCCCATGTGCTCTTTCAATATCCATATCCCGTTTCAGCTGAATTTCAAACATCTCTGCACCCTTCTTTCATCTTTGTATTTTGTTTTCTTTTCTCCCTCTGTCACGTTTTCATCAGGTTTTCTGAATTTTTATGGCCTTCGGTATCATTTAAGGAGCTATTTTGTAGTTGGGTTTGTAGCAGCTTTTCCTCTTACTGCATGTTCCTACCGGAAACGGAGGTCCAATTTCTCTGACTGTAAGTAATTTTTATGATATACCCGATTGGAGATTGAAAACAGAACACCCTGATTGGATTGGATTGGATTTGTGAATGGATGGATAAATTGATGAATTGATTGTTTGATTGACTTTATTGATCTCACACTGGAGAAAGTTCCTTTTACTACCTACTTGATGTCAAGAGTTAAGTGGAGGTTTTTGAGGACTTGTCAATTTCTTGAAATAACTGAGGGAATCTTCTCCTGCGCAGCTATGAATCCCTTATGTAATTCTGAAAATTGAGACCCCTCCATATATCAGTGGGTAAAAAGTAGTTAGAATCTCTGTTGAAGTGAGAAAGTCCTCCTGAAAACATGGTCTGTGCAGTCAGTTCATCCAGATTACCATCCTGCCTTCAAAGATTATTTCTCTGTGGGAGCCGCTCAGACCCCCACATACCGGCGCTGCGCTGTCACTGGGAATCCCCAGCAGCAGCTGCCTCAGGCCCGCTCGCCTCTCCAGGGTTTTCCCCTCCTGTTGGTGGCGGCTGGAAGTAGATGTTAGCGTTTTTCAGGTCTGTGCTACAAACTGCAGGCAGCAGGATAATAAAAGCCAACATATTCTGCCGGCAGGTTTCTACGTTTGAAGTTAATTTAGGCGTTAATAAACTTTATAAACATACATGTTTATAAAGATTTTTCATATAATTTCTATATTTTAGAAGAATACCAAGGATCTTCAGATTAAAGCAGCAAACAATAAGGAAATTATGGCTCTGACGGTTTTCTCTGAATCCCTGAGATTTCTGAAGGATTATGCCCTGAAAACCATCAGATTAAATAGAGTAGGTACGGAGTATTTAGCCTCTGACTTCACCTGGGTCCTGACTGTTCCTACCATCTGGGATGAGTCAGCAAAACAGTTCATGAGAGAAGCTGCTATATAGGTAACAACATGTTTAACAGAAAGTAAAGAAGCTCTGATATGAAATGTTTTTACCTTATAATCATCTTCCAGGCAGGTATTGTAACAGAAGGAACTGAAGATAAACTGGTGATCGCACTGGAACCAGAAGCTGCTTCAGTCTGGTGTAAGAAGCTTCCATCAAATGGTTTCATCACACAGAGCCAGAGCAGAGACGCTCTGGATCAGACTCCAGGAACTCAGTACATTGTTGTTGATTGTGGAGGTAACTGTCTGATGCCGTCTGTAGTAAAAAGCTGTGACATTATTAATGAGGAAGACTAAGAGGTGATCTGCAATGATTTGAAAGCTTTATCAAACTCTGTGCATTTCAGGAGGAACCATCGACATCACAGTTCACAGAATCCTTATAGGAGGAGCTCTGAAGGAGCTGCACAAGGCCTCTGGAAACAACATGGGAGGACAGACTGTGGACAGAAAGTTCAAAGAGTTCCTGAGGGAAATATTCTGTGATGGAATCTGGGAGGAATATGAAGAAAATTATCAGAGTGATGTTCAAAAGATGCTCTATGATTTTACCTTTCTCAAACGGGTAGATGATGAGATTCTGATCAGTTGTCCGTATAATCTGGGAAAACTGGCCCGGAAAAAGAAAGACATTGAAAGGTTCTTTGAATCAGTGGATGGAGCTTCCTGGGATGATGGATTCATCAGAATCTCCAGAGAGAAACTGAGGTCCTTCTTTGATGAGAGTCTGCTGGGCATCACTAAGAGCCTAAGGGAAATATTAAACAAAGATCTCAGCATTGATTTCATCCTGTTAGTGGGAGGTTATGCAGAGAGCCAGATACTCCGTCAGCACATTAATGAGCAGTTTGGAGAAGATTATAAAATCCTGTGTCCTTTTAGACCCCAGGAAGTGATCCTGAGAGGAGCTATAGAGTTTGGAAGAAACCCAAAGATGGTGACGTCTCGGAAAAGCCGTTTTACTTATGGGGTAGCCGTGGTTAGAAGATTTGATGAGTCTACACATAAACTAGAGAAGAAATATACAGCAGGTGGAAACGATTGGTGTAAGGACATTTTTAAAACACTGGTGCGTGAAGGTGAAGATTTGGGCTGGGATGAAACCAGAGAGCATGAACTGAGTGCAGTAGATTCTAATCAGACGGGGATGAGTGTTCGATTGTTTAGGAGTGAAAGAAAAGATCCACAATATGTAGATGACTGGGGGGTAGAAGAAGTGGGTTCATTAATAGTTAAATTCTCTGATTCTAACAGCAGCAGAGAACGTAAAGTTAAGCTGGAGATTAAGTTTGGCTCCACAGAGATAACAGCTACAGGGACCGACATGGGAACTGGAGAGGAATATACAGTTAAGTTTGAGTTTAAGACCTAATAAAGTTTCTTTCTGTCCCATTGAAGCTAAAATGAAGACACATTTCGAAGCCTGTTTTATTTTACAGGCCATATAGTCATTATAGCTTATTTAAATATCTGGAATTGGTTTGCCTTTAATTTCAGATGTTTGTTTTTTCACTTTTATATAATGAGGTTTTATTGTAGAACATTATATTGAATTATTAAATTACTTTGATTATAACTTTGTCTCTTGTTTGCTGCAATGTATTAATAAACCATCATTTTAATCTTTGGAAAACTGTCTTTGGATTATTTTCTCCTTTTGGAAGATTGGTTTGTCAAACGAGTGAATCTCCATTTCTTTGTTTATTGTTGGTTACCAGGTTTTATTAGTCATTGATTCCCATAGGAGGCTACCTGTTAGTGTGAGCACATCTATGCACGTGGATGAGTGTTTTTATCAAATTTTTCTCAAAGATTAACTGATGACCTGTCAAGGTGAACTTTAGCTCATCCTGTGCTGCAGATCCTCCACAGGTTAACTTCTGCTGGAACCAAACTGACAATTAAGTTGTTAAGCACATCTAGACACATCTTTTTTAAAACATTTTACTCCTTTTATCTTTTGCCCAGTTGTATTGATTTGATTGAGTAAATGTTATTTTTACATATGTTTTAGCTACTCTGTTTTTATCTGTTTTTTTAATTTATTTTCTGTACAATACGTTTGTCAGCTGTGGTTGTTTTTAAGTGCTTAACAAGCAATTAAAAACAAAGCAATTAACAGGTTACATTTGAAAATGTAAAAATATAATAATGTTGCAACAGTTAAGATGATGATTGTAAAACTTTTGTAGTTATTTATGGAACTCCACAAAACAATATCAAAGATTTTTTGTTGTTTCTCCTTTGGTTTGTTGCATCTACATAGATTCAAAACTTTTGTCTGAGCGACAAGAATCAAAGATTGGTTGAAATTAGAGACTTTTGTCTCCTTTCACTATTTTCCTTCATTATATAACAGAAGTTTTATAGTATAATACTCTAATACATGCAGAGCTGATCTGGAAACAGCAATCAGAGAAAGTTGAAGCCAGATTGATGAAGAGTCCTGTTTGTCACTCATTAAGTCCATGACTCAGAGACTGCAAGCTGTTAGAGGCCAGAGGTGGTGCAACTAAATACTAGTGATGTGATGGAGCGTTCTTTTGTATTTCATCATTCCATAATTTTTTCTGCAGAATTGAGTGATTCCATATTGTTCACTCTGATTGGTCTAAAATAATAACTGTTACTGACTACCACATTTTATTTCTTGATTTCTTTTAGTATTTCTTAAAGCCAGACAGTTGCCATTTGGAATGACTTTAGTTTTATGTCATGTCTGTTATATGGAGCCTAGGCAGAAGTTCTACTGAATAAATAGATTTCTCACCTTTTTCCGCCTACGACACCGCCAATCAGCTTTGAACCACGCCTCCACCAAAGCCAATCAGCAACCAAAGTTCATCTTTAAAGGCCTCCGATCAGCAACTTGTCTGCAGTGGTTGCGCTGTGACTTCATTCAGATGATTCATCCCCCCTCACGCCCCTCCTCCACCATTGTAGCTAAAGCTTAATGAGAGTTTCAGTCCTCTCGGACTCTTACTGCGTCTCATTTCAACTGGTCTGGCAGATGACCGCCATGTTGAGCCTGGTTCTGCCAGAAGTTTCTTCCCAATGAGAAGTTTTTCCTCTCCACTGTCGCTTCATGCTTGCTCATCATGGACAGGTTCTCTCAACCTGTATTATCCAGCTGGACTTCCATCTTCCAGGTCCCTGAGTGAAGCTCTAGAATCAGCTCACGCAGTCCACTGGATCTCCCCATAAAGCTCAGCAGACCGTCTCTCCAACCAGCAGTCTACAGACTGACCAACTCCATCTATCTCCACTCCACCACCATTTTCAAGCCCTGGGGGGGAATCAGTAGAGTAGAAAATGAAGGCTAATCATGTTTTGGGTGTACTATTCCTTTAACAAACTCGTAAGCAAGCTTAATAAGCTTAATAATGTTGTTTTCATGTCGCTAGCAAGCCATTGATTGTAGATTGATTCATTTTGAGTGGTTTATTGTTAAGCAGTGTTTAGAACGTTTTCACTGAATCCCGTTCACAATGAACTGGTGTTGTAAAATGTTTAAATATGAAACTCCCAGAAAGACAGCTTTTGAAACACTACAGGCTGCGACATGTGCATTGTGCGCAAATTCTGCCTTGTATTTATTGGGAATGCTATTGCTCTTTCAAAACATGGGCCAGTCTTAAATCACACATGACAAGAAGTCATTCATCTTATAAAGCGGCAAATTTGAAAGATGTCTTGTCTTTTAAATGTCCATGTTGTACCCTAAGCTCCATCACCACAGAGAGGGAGTACTTTGAGCATATCGGTCTCCGCCAGTCACGTGACATTTGTTGCTAAGACGCCATTTTTGGTGGAAAAGGCGTAGTGTAAACAACCGCAGCATAGCTAAACGAAGGACTAAAGGATTGAGTTTGTTTCTCTGACTATATGGAAAACAGTAAGCAGAATGCGAAATTACCGTACCGGTGTCGTGCCAAGGTAGTTATCCCTGCGAAAATTTGTATCCCCTCGTCGGGAGCGTGCACGGAGTAGGAAGATCAACCCGACTTAACTCCGCTTCAATTCCAACGTGCAGAACTTGAAATTTGAAAGGTTTTACGTGTATGAAAGTTGAGCTTTACTGTTTTATTCTTTACTTCACATGTTATAGCGGAATATCGCCAGTGATATTGATCTAAAACTAATAATAAAACACAAAAGTTTGCTTGAAAGCTAGTCGCTGACAGCAGTGTCTACTCCTCCCTCTGAAAGCAAACAGATCCTTGTTCTTTTCCTCACGTTCCTTAAAAAAATCTCTCATTGTTTCACAGTGTCCAAATGTTCTCATCCCATTGAAAACTGTTGTAAATCATATACTTGTAATAAAAATGAAATAGAAAATGGAGTGCACGTGTAATCATTAAAGACTATATGCAGAAGGAAAATAATTTTTTCCTGGTTGAAATTTAGTATTTAAATCTATATTTGTGTTTATAGTAACGTACAATTTATCTATGTTGTACTATCCTTAAAAAACAGTTTGTGTTCTTTAATCAGCCGTTTTATTTCATCCCATATTGGGATCGTAAAGTCGCTCGTGATTGGTTGGCATATATATATATTTACATATAAATTTACATATATATATTTATTCATATATATATATATATATATATATATATATATATATATATATATATATATATTTATTCATTCATATATTTCTTCATTCATATATTTATTCATTCATATGGTGTGTATTTATGTTATCCTACACTACTACACAATTATTATGCTACCATCAAGGACATGAATGAATTTATACAGGAAATTAACATTTGCCAGGAAGCTGTTTATGCAAAGAAAGAGCTTTATTGAAACACACACAACTATATACAACGCATATCCAAACACATGCGTTTCTAAAAATTAAAACTCCGTGAACGGTCCGTTTGCTTCCTCGGGGTTGGAGGTAACTGGCAGCATTCCCTCCGATGCAGGTCCGATGTGCAGACTCCTACTGTGCGTGGCTCTGTACTTTGGCATCGCTTCTAACCGGGACTGCAGCTTAACACAGAGTTCAGTGAGATCCGGCCTACGAAATGGCGGCGACCGTACAATCCATCCAGACACCGCCGACAACGGCGGACTTCCAGAGTTCCACTTCCTCATCTGCTAGCACACTCTGCCTCGCTTTCAGCAGCTGAAAAAAAAACAATGAATCAGCGCACTGCGTATTGACACAACACATCTATTAATGCACCTGAAAAAAGAAGACACAAATATCCTAGTTAAACCTGTCCATCTAGTTAAATACCTCTTACTGTACGCTTTGTTTCACTGATTAGATCTAGTGCTCAGACTGTTCTAAAGTCAAACTCACTCTAGTTAGAATTTGTCTCAGAACAACATGGTTAGATCCACTCTGTATTTGTTTTTGTTCATTTGTTCTTTAGATAATTTAAAAAACACACATTTCAGAAGGTCCTCTGGTGATATCACACCAGGCACGAGACAACAGACCAGTTCTTATCATTTTTATTATCATTTTCTTTCACTTTGTGCGTCTTTTAAAGTATATTTAGTTTTAAAATATTTTATTTTCATTTTTAAAGCTGTACAAGGTGAGCTGTATTTGAGAACAGAAGATTGACTTCAAGAAAAAATTAACATTAAAAAAAGAAGTGGTTCTTTGTTAAGGGGTTTGTCTGGAATGGTCAGAATTTATTTAAATAGAGCTTCAGTGATTCTTTTATGGAAAATTATAAAACATTGTGAGATTGTTGATATATTTTTTTTATGTTAGAGGTGGTGTGTGTGCAAAAAGTAAAACTTGCAGTATCTTAATAAAATAAAGTTTTTTTGTTTTTTTTTTAGGTATTTGTAAATTATATATAGTTTCTTTGATTTAAAATCCGTGCTGTTTTTAGCCAAATATTTGTATAAAAAATGTATGTTTCTAAGTTTGCTTTAAAAACAACACTCTGTAAGCTTGATCCAAGCGTGAGATTAGGTTGGGTTACATTAAATGATTTTCTTCAGGTCAATATACAGCTCTTGGTACGTATTGCTGCACCGTGCAGGCTACGTTTCTCATAAACTCACCTATGTTACTGAAGAGGGTTGGATCACCAGGTTCTTTGCCAGCACATTTCAACGTAATGGACCTTCATGCCTAAAGTTGTCACCATTATGCTGAAATTATGCTCATTTTTTAGGAGCCTATGAGTCCTAATAATTTTATGGTCGCTATCAGACATATACTAAAAGTTATTTGGTATTAATTGTTTGTCTCATGCAATTTTTTTTGTTTAAATTGTTTTTAAAAAAAGTGAATATTACAGTAATTTATGTTAATTATTAAATATATTATGACAAAACGATGTGCTCTCTCTAGTTGCAGCCAAACCAAGTAAACCTAAAGCGATGGAGCCCCTCACGCCAGCAGCCTACAGAGGCCCCGTCCCCATACCGCCACAAAGGCCGACAAAGACCGCTAACAGCTTTCCTAGTGGAGACAATCAAGCTAAAAGTATCAAAGCTCTAGTGTCCAACCTCAATAATACAGCAGCAAATCATAATTCTACAGGTAACACAAAGATCAACATGTTTACAAATGAAATTTTTGTTTTCAATCTTACAATTAATCTTTTCTTGCTTTGTTCATCTTTGCTATTCATTTGTGTTTACTTATCCAACAAGATTATGCATATGTGGACAGTTTAAAGAACACTGTTAAAGTGGAAGAGGAATCAACAGAATCGCATTGTTGCCTCCAGGGAACCGCCTCCTATCCCGACTCTACCTCCCCGTAAAGCATCCTTCCCTCCATCCAACCCTCTTCCTCCTGCACCCATCCCAAAGGAGTCCTCTGCAGCCCTACAGGCCAGAGGCAGCTCCGTTATACCCAACACCAAGTCAGAGTAAGTCAGGCTGGACAACTTTATGGTCGGTGTAATTTTTCTGAATTTTTATTGTCTTTTCAACATCTCAACTCTTTTCCCATCCATTAGGTTCAAGTCTGAGTTTGGCTACTCAGACAGGCCAACCTCTTGGTGTGAGAGTCCGTCTACCAACAGCATGAGACAGGCCATGTTCTCTAGCGAGGCAGGCGAGAGAGAAAACCTCATCAAACTTCGCCTGGGGAAAAAAGAGAAGGAATAAGTGGACCTCCAGCCCTTCAGGTGAGGGGAGCTCCCTCATACTGGGAGTTGAAATGGGAATGGATGTCGCTAACTGGTGCTGAACTATAATGCTTCCAGAATAAACCAGGAATCAATGGGAACAATAAGTTATGACTTATGACTTTTCTTGTTTCCTAGCCAGATCTAAGAGGATTATTATAAACATTTTTAATAAAAAATGTATAAATAAAAGCAGAGACATAACAGTAGTTATAGCAAAGAGTGTAAATGAAAAATCAAGCAGAAATATAGTTCCCAAATTATTAGGAATCAGATGGAATTATTTGATCTTTATAGGTAGACTATGCCTATAACATTATCTCTATGAAATTGTCACGGATGACAAAACTATAACACAATATCCTGTTCTACATATACATTAGAAAAACAAAAAGATAATAAAATGTAGGAAACAAGACATTTTCAATTGTGCCTACACTCATCTGCTGATTTTCACTGATTACTAGAAAGGCTACATTTAATAGTGTGTCATTTTAAGGACTTTTGTGATCACTTAAACTGCTACTTAAAAAACTCTGGAAAACATGGCTTCCATTGGGTGTAATTGAACAGGGGCTTCCAACATCCTTTTGCACCTGCAGCACATAACCTGATTATAGTTTTATTGCATTTCTGGATTTTGCCCCTATTTCTTCTAACCAGGGCTTAGCTCCCTTTTACCAGGTAAAAGTTGAATCACAGGAAGACTCTCACATTCAGAGAAAAATAAAGCACCTGCAGGCACTCATTTTGACTCACCATTGAGAAGTTGGGTCACATGAGCGACCACTCTAGAGACATTAAACTACCACCATTAGAGACCTGAAGCATTGATTCAAAGTTAAAACGGTTCCATAATTTAGCCCCTCCAAAGTTGGACTTTACCATCTGCATGTTGCAGTAGAAATCAGGCCAGGTAGTGTTTTTATTATCTGTAATTGTCCAGTTTCAGTTTCCCTTTCAAGCTGAAGCGACCGGCTTGTTTTATTACTTTCTGCTGCTTTAGCTGATGTGTCTCAAAGCTTTAGGGGTTTTAAGTTTTATTGGTGGTATTTAGCATTCCTTGTTTTTAGTGATGCTGCTACTGTTGCCCTTTCTTCCATCTTGAACCAACCTGTTCATCATCTGACAGCAAGTTTTCATTCTCACCATTTTCTATAATCCCAGCTGATCAGTAGTTGCTTAAATATTTATAGTAGGCTGTCTTGAATGAGGACCAGGCAACGTTTGAGGCTCTTAAATTAGTTTTCTTTCCAAAAAGAGTTATGCACCATATGAGAGAAGGATGTTCCTCTTTTCAGTGTGATTCCTAAAAACGAAATGTAAAGTGAATCCAATTCCTCTCTCTGCTTTTTTCTTTACCATTTCACAAACGGCCATGAGCTCAGGCCACTATTTTACATCTGGTGTTTATAAAAGCAGCTAGACTCCATCCTACTGGCCAGATATATCATTAATATACAGAGTGGTTATATAAATTTGTCTTTTGTGATCCTACAAGCACTGATACGATAACAGTTGCATTTCAGAATAATGTGGAGCTTCAGTCCATTGTTTACAGAGGTAAATTTCTCCAATGTGAGATAAATAAATTTTAATTATTATTATATTAAATTGTTTTGATTTAAAAAAAGGTGCTCATGCTTGAGTTTACCAAACTCTACATCTTGCTTTGACAGTTTCTTTATCGGTACCTGGAATGTTAACGGGCAAACTCCAGACAGCAGCCTTGAGCCCTGGCTGTGCTGTGACTCGGATCCTCCTGATATTTATGCCATTGGGTCAGTAAGCAACACTCTAAAGAATAAAGCATGGGGGTAGTAAATTCAGCTAAAATAAATGCGCAATTTCAATATAAACATTTAAGTTTGCAGCTTTTATTTGTTAAACTAAGTAACCAGCTTGATTAATCTAAATAAACCAACTTGAAAAATAAGAAAATATCCAGACTCATTTTCCTGTGTAATTTGAATGCATTAAAGCGCATCAGCTCAATTTGTCGCAAATTTTAAGTTGGTTCAGCTCAAAAAAAATTTTTGAAACTTTTTTTGAAACGGGCGTGGATACTCAAGCAGCAGACGATACTCAACGTGCACCCGGTTGGGAAAGTCGACGCACTCGTGTCTGCTTGTTTGTACAGAGCTACTATCTGCGTTGGAATTTCATTTTTTGCGCTTTGGAACAGCTGACAAGTTATATTTGGGGATCTTAATCATTGCTGGAGGACCATTAACCTACAACGTGGCTGCCCATGCCACTTTGGTAAGTAAGCCTTCCCGCCGCCATAACAGTCGCTCGCTACTTGTGCAGTGTTTTGCTAAATTGTAACAGATCAAATAAAAACTTCTTAAAGTACTTTTTAAATTCTTAAAGGAATAGTACACCCAAGACATGATTAGCCTTCATTTTCTACTCACCCCCATGCTGAACAACACTCTGGAGTACTTTTTTGATATCTCAAATGCATCTGGAGATCTGGGAGGCTTCTTGCTGTCTGCTGACATTCAAATAATGGAGGTCTATGGCGCCCGAGGCAGAAAGGTCCATAAAAGTCCACAAAAAACGTGTCAATATTCCTCCATACTGCTCGTCCAATGTATTCCAAGTGACCTGAGTGGGTAGCGTCCAGAATTTACTCGAAACAAAGTCATTTAGAATGTTTTTAGAGCATAAACAGTAGTGTATAGGATTTCCTGAAAGCGTGTTCACGAGTCTACGGAAACCGCGGCAGACCAAACCAGATGAAAGTGCGCATTCAGCGTCTGCTCTGCCGATAATGCAAGCGTAGAAAAAGAAATGTGCTGTTTACCTGTGCAAAGAAAGAAACAACAAAAGAAAAATGTCTGAGGACTTCAGTGTTGAGGAAGAGCATGAGTTCTTTGCCGAGCTGAATGCGCTGGTTTGGTCTGCCGGCTTCCGTAGCGTTGTGAAAGCGCATGTGCGCGCTTTCAGGAAATCTTATACACTACTGTTTATGCTCTAAAAACATTCTAAATGACTTTGTTTCGAGTAAATTCTGGACGCTACCCACTCAGGACACTTGGAATACATTGGACGAGCAGTATGGAGGAATATTGACACGTTTTTTGTGGACTTTTATGGACCTTTCTGTCTCGGGCGCCATAGACCTCCATTATTTGAATGTCAGCAGACAGCAAGAAGCCTCCCAGATCTCCAGATGCATTTGAGATATCAAAAAAGTACTCCAGAGTGTTGTTCAGCATGGGGGTGAGTAGAAAATGAAGGCTAATCATGTTTTGGGTGTACTATTCCTTTAAGTTGTAAAATTCTAATCCATCCGTTAATGGTAAATCTGCTGTACTTAACTCTTAATCTCCCCTTTTTGAGGCAGAGCTAAACTACAACTACCTAAACAGAACAGTCCAGAACAGTCAGCTTGTTTTCTTGTGTTTTATCACCATCATTTATATCAGTTGCTCCATATGAATCACAAAATGTTTTCCATTTCCTGAATGAAATGATGTTGTTTTATTTATTAAACTAAGGAATTCATGTTTAACACAGTGGTTACTGTATTTTCTTAAAGATCCCATGTTATGGAAAATTACATTATAAACATTTTGTAAGTGTGAGATGTTTCCTGAAGTCTGTGTATGAGGTTCACAAATTAAAAATACCTCTTTCACCTCCTCATCACCTTTCTCCACCTCTTAGCTACCAGTGTTGGGCACGTTACTTTGAAAATAATTAGTTATAGTTACTAGTTACTTCTCCCAAAAGGTAACTGAGTTACTAACTGAGTTACTCCATACTAGGAGTAAAGTGTTAACTTAGCAGTCCAATAATAAAGTTGAGAAAACAGAATTGGTTTTATATCCGTCTTCTATGAACAAACTCCTTTCCATGATCGACTATTGCTTTTCCTGGATCCCTTTCATGTTTTCTCTTTTTAGCCTCAGAAGGTTAAATCTGTTTCCTTGCCTCAGCCATGACCAGTAGTCCAACAGGTGCAAAAATAGTAGAGCTAAAGCCTTAGCTCCATGACTATATAAGAGCCTGTAACCACAAAGCCATACGTTCTTCCAGGTCACATGACCTGACCAACGACGCCGCGTCTTCAACCAACTACAGTGGGCGCTGATTGGAAATGGACACTTCACTCACGCTCCGCGTGTTTCACATATTGTGTGAAAAACATGTGACTACTATAGCCACTAGGTGGCAGTCTGAGTCCATTTCGGCGTCCCATGAGTCAGAAGTAGATAGGTCAATTAGCAAACTGGGATGGGCTTTACATGTTCTGGGCTGTTGGTGTAGAGGTTAGAGGGAGTAGTGTGCAGCTTTGAAGGTTGAGGGTTCGATTCCAGCTATGGACGAATATTTTTCAAATTTTTTTTAAATCACTTTTTTTATCACATTAGACCATAGGGATTATCATTCTACATTTTTATCTTACTGTATATATAGGTATATTATATTGCATGCCTTATAGCCACAGTGTTTAGATATTTTTATAATTGTATTTACCCTATTCCATATTATATGTGTCATGGTCTGGCGGTGTTTGTGAATGAGAGATGGTGTGGCTCATGTTCACGTGAAGCAGCAGATATGCAGCCCAGATGAGGAATTACTCGCAGTGAGTTTAAGACTTTATTATCTGCCGCGGGAGTTTGGTCACGTGATCGTGCTGTGCGTTTCCAAAGCGTGGTAAACAAGTTTCAGACTAGAGTCTGAGACGGGAGTGGATTTTCACTCCTGTCCCATCCCGCTCCGGAAGCAGTGATGGTTTTTGGGTCGTGTAGTTTTTTTGACTCGCATTATGGTGTAGGCTTCAAGGAAAAAAACTACAAAATGGCGGCGCCGCGCCAGTACTGAATTTTTTTTCTTTCTATTTAATTTTATTTTTTGGCATCGATCCTAGTTTTTTTTTGTTATTATTGGTTTGCTCCCGCTCCCGTCTGCTCCCGTTAGTGTTTAATACTGTACCGTCCCAATCACGTGATCGT